CAATAACAGACTTTGAGTACCTTCTGGCAGAACTTTCATAGCCTTTTGAATGCTTTTGTTGCTCGCTGCCATAGTCAGTGGACTTGGAAATCCAGCGTTTCTGGAACAGTGTGGAAGCCGGACCATATTCTCCCTCTTTTTCAGGAGAAGTACAGTTGGAGCCTCTGGGACACTCTTTTTCAGGAGAAGTACAGTTGGAGCATCTGGAACAGACAGCGAAGTAGGTTACATCAGCAGCGACGCATTAAAGCTCTTTGTGTCTTTTTCTTTGCAGGAGCTGAAGGCTCTGGTGGCCCAGCACAATGTGAGTGCTTCTCAGCAAGGTGGCAGCTTCCGCACCTGCCTGCCAGGCAGCCTCCCCTCCAGCCAAAGCCAGCGCAAGTACCACTTGGAAAAGGTTTTTGTGGTATCTCAGACTGGGAGCTGCAGAGTAATGGCATATTGTGACTCGCTGAGTTGTCTCGTGGTATCACAGCCTTCTCCACAGTCTACTTTTATTCCTGGTAATCAAGCAAGTCAAGATTTGGGGATTCATAGGTGAAAGTTAAATGTGTTTTCTGCTTGCTCCCTGCTCCCCCCCTGCCCCGCTTCCTCTTGCTTGACGTTTTGTGTGTGCCTTGTAAACTGGGAGGAGTCCTAAGACTCCCTGTTGTTCCTGTGGCCCCTGCATTGGTGGCTTCTGCCTAGCAAGGTAGCTTGTTTCCCGCATCCCTTCTATGTGATTTGGGGATTCATAGGTGAAAGTTAAATGTGTTTTCTGCTTGCTCCCTGCTCCCCCCCTGCCCCGCTTCCTCTTGCTTGACGTTTTGTGTGTGCCTTGTAAACTGGGAGGAGTCCTAAGACTCCCTGTTGTTCCTGTGGCCCCTGCATTGGTGGCTTCTGCCTAGCAAGGTAGCTTGTTTCCCGCATCCCTTCTATGTCAGAATCCTAACAGAGGGTCTCTGGCTCTTCTGCTGAAGTGCCACATCCACAAGAAGGTAAAAGGTGTGTCTGGTACTCCTTGCAAAGGTGGGTCTTCTGAAAGGACCAGGGGCCAGCACACTAGGGCATGTGGGGAAGCTTCCAGTGCTTGAGTGAGAAACACTTGCTCCCCAGGTTGTAGGTGGATTTATCCACATGCAGCTGATCTGTCAATACGCTTTAATAAAAGAAAAGAAAAACCAGAAGCAAAGAACTTTTGGTATGAATGATAGGAGCACTGTTTCCCAGTGAGCAAATAGGAAGCCAAGAAGTCATGGGCAGCCCTGTTTCTGTCTGACTGTTATGGCCAAGGGCAAGTGACCGGCCATCTGGACCAGAGCCGATTTGCTTTTTCAATGAAATAGATGTAGCATTGGGAGTTGGGGAGAGTTTATTTGCAAAAGTACTTCAGTGCTTTCTGAATGATGAAACTTACTTTATTTGGTTAATAGTTTGGAGATTAATATGCCTTATCTAGGCATGACAAAATTGTTTTCTCATTCAACTGGCCTTATTTTTCTGGCTCTTGGAGCCAGGGAATGAACCTCTGAAGGGAGGTGGTGTGGTGACTTGTAGAACATGGGTTAAGTTCACCTGTGAGCATTCTTTACAGTGACACTTGTTCTCTTAAATAGCTGTGTAATCCTGCTGTGCATGTTTATCTAGGCAAGAATGTCTTTGAAGAAAGTGGCTAAAGAGCAGCAGGCTCTTGTAACAAGAATTGTAACACTGATACTGAGTTTGCTTTTGCTGGCTGGGGTCCTGAGGGATTTAGCCCGCTTGGCGTTTGAACTAAAGAATGATTTGTGATAGTTCTTACCCGGAACAGCAAATAACTTTTCCGTGTTCCTCCCACCCCAGACTTCAGCACAGGCGTTGTAGTTCTGGCATAGAACGGCTAGTTCCACACGTATGCCGCATCATGGTAACCTGCTTTATCCTTCTTCTGTGACAGGGTGTGGTGTTAAGATGATGAGCGTGGCCAACCTGAAGAGCAGTCAGTACATCCCTATTCACAGTAAACAGATTCGGGGACTGGCTTTTGGCAGTCGAGCAGCTGGCTTGCTGCTCTCTGCTGCTCTGGACAACACTCTCAAACTTACCAGGGGAGCCCTGCTGCGGGGAGAAACCTGTCCTGGCGGAGCTTTGCTATGTGCAAGAAACTGGATTGGATTGTGTTGTGTCTTGCTAGAAATGTCTTGCAGCACTTGCTATTCTGCTGTCCAAAAGACGCTGCTAAGATGAGCTCAGGCGTGCATATTCTTCGTGTGTGGAGGAACTAACAGAGGGAAAGACTTGGTCATGCTTTCGGGTCTTTTGGGTGGAGGTGTTACAGAGCTTCCTGTCTGTGCTAGACTAGGTAAAAGTAAACAACGCTGTCTCTGATGCTAAAGTCAGCATGTCAGATTTCTAACCTATGAGGTTGATATTCTTTTTGTGGTTTAATATGGAGAGTAACTTCTCGTCACAGTATCTGCTCAGACACTTGACTCCCCTGTCTGCCTGGTTGGCTGCATCAGAACTTGTGATCCTCTTGGTTTTGTGCTTGCTTCCAGAATGTCTTGGGAGTTAAGCGCTTACTTAACTGGTTAGGGAGGGTTTTGATTGTCTAAAGCTTAACGATGGGGATGGTAGGGTTGAGTGTTTATGGGTAAGAATCAGGGGGAAAGCCAGCAAGGCAGATGTCATGGTGGGAGTCTGCTATAGAGCATCCAGCCAGGATGAGGAGGCGGAGGAAACATTATGTAAGGAGCTGGGAGAAGTCTCTCAATCATTAGCCCTTGTTCTCCCGGGGGTACTTCAACTTACCAGATGTCTGCTGGAAATACAATACAGGGGAGAGGAAATGGTCTGGGAGGTTC